GTTGCTACGTGTTGCTTCTATAGGTCCTTGCAATCGGTTCACTATCGTGCGTGTTGGCGGAGCTTGCTGCCTATGCTTCTCATCCGAAGCTGGTAAGAGATATTGGACTTGGTTATGCATTCCTCAATCAATCACTGATTGAGTAACTCAGTCAAACAGTCGAAGTTCGTCATTCGTTATGCATTCCTCAATCAGTCGTTGACTTAGTTTAGTGCTCAAACTGTCTATTGCTGCATGAAGTCCGTCAGAGCGGTGCTTTTGTTTTTTTCCTTTTGAAGTCGTAATTTAGAGATTACCAAACAACCATTGTTGCCTTGCCAACAATCTGGTGTGTCCACCTATTAGGAATATGTTGTGCCCACCTACCACCAATGTAGTGTGCCCGCCTAGTAGCAATATGGCGTGTCCACCCACCAGTCATATGGTGTGCCTACCTAGAAACATACTTGTCAATCTAAAATGACAGTCGAACAAGGAATTCGCATCCCAAATCTTTGGAGACTGGTTAGAACCATTAAGGGAACAGTGAAGGGGACTCTGTACTACGACTCGGGACACTGGTGGAACCGTGTCTACGTCCTACGTCTGAAACAGGTACAGGGTTTGGATTTGGGTCTGGATTTGGATGTTGACCTAGGTTAGGGTATGGATATGGATTGCAGTCTAGATCCAAATAAGGATATGGGTCTGACGTGCAGGTCAAAGGCCAAGTCAGGATTTGCAGCTGATTGCAGACTTGTATGTCTATATAGTGCTACAATTTTTTGTTGATGTCATCATGAACACGGCGTCTGCATCCCGATGTCAATGTTGATCTTATGTTCAACAAAGTGTCCTGGTCCTTAGATCTATGTTGTTGATGCTATCTTCAAAGTTTGATGAGGATGTAGGGTCAATTTTTATCTTACTTTTTATATGGCATAGGTGTTGTGGGTCTGGGTCAGAACCTTGGGCTAGGGTTTGGCTGTAGGTGTGCATTTGAAGTCTAGGGTATGTAGGAGAGGATATTGCGGGGTTGTTGCATTGGGTCCGGGCGTTCGGAGTGTCAGGTATTGTTGTATGGGTCGAGCAACCTTTTTGTGTGAGGTTTGGAATTGCGTTAGGATCTGTTATCTAGACTTGCAGCCTTCCATCTAGATTTGTGTTTAAGTCTTATGTCTTGAACATGATGTGGGCATGCGTCTTCAGGGTTGGACCTCCACTCAAAAGGTTAGGGCAACTGTGAATGCAACAGATGGGTCTGTTGTGCAGTCACAAAGCGGTAAGCGCTTTCCCCCTTTCGAATCCATGTTTGAGTCAGGGACTTTATTTTCTTGGCAACATTGCTCTGAATGATCGTTATTCACTGTTTTTTGTGATGGCCATAACTTTTCTTGTCTCTCATGAAAGTTGTTGCAACCAATTCTTTGAACGCAAAGTACGACATGAGAGTCTATCTGAGAATGAATCTTGGTTTCATGTGTAGAAGTCCGTCAGACCGGAATTTCGGACTCAGGATAGTGAGTTGTGATTGAGACTTCGGATGGAGGACTGTAACTGGAATTTCGGACTCAGGATAGTGAGTCGTGACAGGGTCATGGTCAATGTCTGATCCTATATCTCGATTAGCAATGCAGGGTTGTGGTCCAAGTCGAACTCCACTTGAAAAAGGCGCTTGTGTTCCCATTCGGACTGTTGATCTTATCTTAAACGAGCATCTCAGTCCTGCTACCTATGTTCACGTTTTCTTTAGGATTGCCTCGGGATGCGCATGTTGATTTTGATGTTAGCAGCAAAATAGCATAGGTGTTCGATCCGGGTTAGAAGTCCGGTTTAGGGTCCTGGTCGAGGTCTGATGTTATATTGAAAATATTAATATGGCGACTCTAGACTAGGGATTTGGACATGGACAGTAGATTGGGACTCTAGACTAAGAATTTCGATTTGGACACTGCACTTGATCTCTGAAGTGGAACGCTGGATTGGGATTCTGTAGTGGGACTGTGGATTAGGATTTTGCACGAAAACTCTGACTCGGAATTTGGATTTGGGCTCTGGACCATAACTTGGACTTTGGACTGGGATTTTGGTATAGGACTTTGAACAACGACTCTGGACTTGGACTTACGATTGGGAATTAGGACAGAGAATCTGAATGAGGAGTCTCAACTGGGAATCTCGAGTAAGGCTATGCACCGAGACTCTAAACTGGCCATTTACTCGGACTCGGGACTACGACACGCATACTGGGAATCTTGATCGGGACTTCGCCACATTGGGGTTCCATCAATCTCTTTGTTGCTATCTACAGTACATCCCATCCTTAATGCATTCCTTTATCTATTTTGATGTCATACTCAATATTCTATGTCAAACCCCATATCTATTTTGACAATATGTTCGAAAGAAAGTTGTGGTTGATATGCGTATTGTGATGTTCTGGTCAATATGAAGTTCAATATTTACTCTGGATTGGGATTGTGTAGTGGGACCTTGGACCGGGACTCTGGATTAGGACTTTGGATAAAAGCTCTGGACTCGGAAATTGGATTTGGACTCTGGACCAGAACTTGGACTTTGGACTGGGATTTTGGTATAGGACTTTGAACAACGACTGTGGACTGGGACTTAGGATTGGGAATTAGGACAGAGAATGTGAATGAGGAGTCTCATCTCGAGTAAGACTATGCACTGAGACTCCAAACTGGGGCATTTACTAGGAATGAGGACTACGACACGCATACTGGGAATCTTGATCGGGACTCTGCCACATTGGGGTTCCATCAATCTCTTTGTTGTTATCTACAATACAGCCCCTCCTTAATGCAGTCCTTTATCTATTTTGATGTCATACTCGATATTCTATGTCAAACCCCATATCTATTTTGATAATATCTTCGATAGAAAGTTGTGGTTGATATTCCTATTGTGATGTTCTGGTCAATCTGAACTTCAATATTTACCCYCCCCCCCCCCCCCCCCCCGACCGACAAGGACTCTGGACTATGTCTTTGGACTGCTAGTCTGCATTGGGTCTCTAGAGTGGGATTCTGGACTGGGACTGTGGATTGGGTCGTTGGACAAAGGCTTTGGACCCAGAGTATGGATTGGAACTTTGAACCAGAACTTCGATTTTGGACTGAGACATTCGGCTGGAACTTTGGACTGCAACTTACGACTGGGACTCGGGACATGGAATGCCAATGAGGACTCTCAACCATGAATTTCGACACATTAAAATATTATGCATAAATTAGTCAAATGATAAGTAATTCGTTGAATAATTTACCCTACAATTCAGTTTAATAATTACCCCATTCAAGTCATTAACGGGTCTCAACAATCATTCAAGGAAACTGACGTAATAAAGATGTTAACCATTCAGTCTAAGGACCTGGGACTGGGATTGGCAAATGGGTCTCAGGAATGAGACGCTGGATTGAAAACCGTTAATATTTTGATGTGTGATGTGTGTCTAATTTAATGTTATGTCAGATATATATTTTATATATGGAAATTGTGATTGTGATGGTATCATTGAAGGAAACTGGCTAAATGGAGAAGTTCAGCATTTACCTCGAGGCTCCGCCAAATACAAAAACATTTACTGTTTTTGAAGAGCAATCACTCAACAACTGCTCTAGTCACCTGGGACCTGGGACTAGGAACTGGAACTCTGGACTCGGGACCTTCTACCTGGGATTGGAACATGGGACTAGGATCTCGTTCTTGGGACTGGTACCTGGGACATGGGATTTAGGATTCGGGATTGGTAGCTAGACGTGGGAGTTGGGACTGTGATCTGGGATTCAGGTCTTGCATAGGTGCATCGTTTGGCACTTGAACTTCAGACTTGGGATTTCGAACTCCAAAGAGGGTATTGGGACTGGTATTGGGACTGTGACTTGGAAATTGAAGACGGATCGGGCCAGATGACCTGGGATTCGAATTGGAACTGTGACTGGGATTGGATCCTAAATGCGGGATTGGGTCATTGGACGGGGATTGGCAATCCACACTCTTCAATTGGGAGACGGGGCAAGGCCTCTACACCGGGACGCAGACTGAGGACTGAGACTTGGGACCCATCTAAATACATCCCCGAATCGAACAGTTATTTGACTTTCGTCTTTTTTTTGTCATTTTTTCGTCCTGGAATGTGTGTGTAGAAGCTCCAGGCTATTTTCCTCTGCATGTCGTTTCTGCTGCTTGTGGTGTATATCACGCACTGCTGTGTGTCGTTTCTGTTGTCTATGTTGCCTGTCTTGTGTAGTCAATATCATCTCTCAACCTCCTTCAAGAAATGTGGCAGTCAGACCTATGACATGGGTATGGAACTCGGGTATGGAACTTGGGTATGGGACTTGGGACTGCGACTTGAGTCCACGACTTGGGTCTAGGACTTTGAACTCAGATTCCAGCATGGGACTGAGACATGGACGGGATTAGGGATGGTTGTATGGAGATGGAAACCGACAAGGTAGCTTCATCAACTGAGGATCCTGTCAACTGTTGGTTCAACAGTCATATGAATTAGTTTAATGTCAGCAAGTGGGTTGTTTGTTTTTCTTTTCACAAGTGATCGTCTTCCACTGTTACACGAGAGAGGATGTGGGTGGGTGGGKGGGGGGGGAGATGGACAGACTCCACAACCGACAATGGAGACCGTGAGGAGCGTCACCGGCGAGGTAAGAAGGCGAGCAAAATGCGTGAGATAAAGGCATGGGATGATGACACGGTGGATTGATCGCAAGGATTGGAGGGAGGAGGTAGCGTTTGGGAAGCCATGGCTAGCCGACAACGGGGCGGAGCAAGCAGGCAGTGAGGGGGGACATGGATAACCATACGGAGGATTGAGGAGGAGAGTAGAAGAGGGGAGATAAAGGCAAGGAGTAGAGCAACGCTGCCCGAGGCCGCGGCTGGCCGAGAGCGGGGTAGAGCAACGCTGCCCATGACGTGGCGAGGACCGGTGATTGCGGAGCCCGGTCAGGGCATTAGGCGATCGACGAGTGGGGGTGTGCGTAACGGACAGGGGAAAGGGGACCTTGTGAGACAGAAAACAGAGAAGAACGGGACAGGGTATCAACGAGAGGGAGTCGCCAAGAGATTAGCGACCATGCAGCACTGCAATCAAAACGGAGGGGGAAGAGCAGAGTGGAATCTGATGAAGGCGGTCCGGAAAACGGCACTGACAGGAACGTTTATGCCAGGGGGGACAGCGGGGCAGAGCATGGAGGGGGGCGAGATTAGTTTGAGAGTGAATCAGGAGATGGCGAGAGTGTACGTCACGTACCTGCGCGCGCACGCAGTATTGATCCGATTCGAGGGTCCGCTGAGACAATTCTCATCGGAACTGAAGGTAGATCTCGTCGGCCAGTGGGAGGGCACATGGCCACGACTGGCGAGAGGACGATTCAAGGGGAGGATGACTGCGGAGGGGCCCGCAACGATCCTCTATTGGGCACCATCAGCGATGTTGAGAACGTGGTTGGTGGAAACTCGTAAGGAAGAGAAGGTCAACATCAATGGCCAAGAGCATGTGGCTACCTTTGCACCATGGAAAACGCCAGTGGAGCTCGAGTGGGATAGACTGATGGAGCGCAAGCGCCACCCGTGGGTGAAGTTTATTCATCCTCCGTCGATAGTACGAACCTTCTTGCGAGAGACAGCCGCTCACCTTTTCGGCTAAGTGCTCAATGACGAGGGGGCCAGAACAACGGATGCCCTAGGGAGGGAGGAAATAACATTCCACCTACATCCACCTCTTAGAAGGATAGGTTTGGACCGGTTGGTGATCGACCTAGGGATATATGGTCGTCATCCGGTCCGACATATCACTGGCGAGACACCCTGGTGCACGACATGCACACGACATGGCCACCTGGCAGGGAACATGGGCTGCCTCACGATACAAGAGACAAGGAGAGAACTCAACAATAGAGAGAGGAGGCTGCGAGAAGACCCGGCAAGACCGAGGAATGTGAGAGAAGAGATAGAAGGATGGATCAGATTCGAGCAGCAACATGATTACGTGATCAGTGTAGAGCTCCTGGTAGAGGGTAGCTTCGTCGATGTGGAGGGAGTGTCGACAGGGCACTTCCTCCCCTCGGTGAGAATACGGCAACTCTCCGATCAGGGCAATGGGAGTGGCCCCGCGGAGAATCGGACGGAAGGGGAGATCGAAGGAAGATAGGAGGGGGAGGTGCAGCAGAGGGCTTTGGGTCATGACCAAGCACAGGAAAAGGCGGAGGATGAAGAGGAGAGGCAGGGGCGGCGGAGGACGCCTGAGAGTGCGGAGAGGGAGAAGAGGAACACAGGGGTAGCTGGGAGACGGAATGAAAGTCGACAGCAGGGGCGGGGAAAGAGGGAGGGAAGGGGGGAGAATGAGGGAGGCCGACCGCAGCGACATCAGACGAGAGAGGTCGAGATGGGGGAGAATAAGGAGGGAGGAGAGGAGGGGGAGACCCCACGGGGAACAGCGGAGGGTGAGCAGGGGGACGTGGAGATGATCGATCGGGAGGGAGGGGGCCAAATCTGCCCCCAGGAAGGGAGGGGGGGACAGAGAAGACCATCGAGATTGGAACAGCTGGAAAGGGAGCAGCGGGCGATCTTGGGAAGTAAGGAGGAAGGGAGGTGTCGGGAAGGGCTGGAAGGGGGGGGGGGGGGGTCGAAGGAAAGGAAATCTGGGCCACGAGGAGGCCAGTAGACAAAGGAAGAGGTGTCGAAGGGAGAGAGAGTGGAGCGAGAGGGGCCGCAGCAGAGACGGGGGAAAGCAACAGGAGGGAGGTAAGTAGGGAGGGGGAGGAGGAGGGAACAGAGAAAGGGCGACATGAAGAAGGGAGGGAAGAGGAGGAGGCGGATAAATAGGGGCAGTCACCAGGAGAAACCCTATTGATTGGAGGGTTGAAATCGAGACCACTGGGAACGAAAAGACCAAGACCGAGACGAAAAAGCAGACAACGAGAGGGGAAGGTGGGGAAGGGGAGAAAAGGGAAACAAGTGGTGATGTCCTCCTCCGAACACACCCCGTCCCCGAAGAGGTGTAGAGAAGAGACGGAGAAGGAAGTGCTGCCATTACCCACGGAGGGGGAGCTGCAGGAGATTTTAGGGGAGAGCCGATCGATCTTAGGCGTACCAGGGAGACGAGGAACCAGGGAGAAGGGATCTCGCCAGGGGGACAAAACGGGAAGATTTGAGGGAGAGGAGTCAACCGAATTACAGGAAATGGAGGAAAAGAGGGGGGGGAGCGGAATAGTGGAGGATGCAGCGGCGAGAGCGGCGGAGCCCACTGAGACAGATGAAAGATCGTTGGTATACCTGGGGGAAGACCCGGGGGGGGGGACAGAGGGGATGGAACAGGAAGCAACGGGGGGATCGGGAGGGGAACCGGGTGAGGAGGGAACAGCCGAGTCGAAGAAGTGGGGGAGGGGTCGAGAAGAGATGCCAGGAGCGAGACGGGCTGCTGGGGAGAAGGGGGGTGTCGAGAAGAATAGACCGGCGGGCACACACAATGACACCCCAGCAGGGGTGATGGACCAAGAGGTGCAAGGAGGGAGATCAGCAACAGCCTCACAGAGGGATGCAGGCTCGACGGCGGGCCAGCGACAGTCAGATGAAGTAAGCCAGCAGCGATACCCGAACAAGCCCTCGAGAAGAACAAGAGTGTCGGTTAGTGTGACATCCGCGGGGGAGTCGGCCCGAAGAAATGGAGGAGCAAGGGGGAGAGGTCTTGGGTGAGGGGGGAGGCGACGAAGAAATGGCCCCGAACAGGCCCTCTAGAAGATCCAGAGTGTCGGTTAGTGTGACATCCGCGGGGGAGTCGGCACGAAGAAATGGAGGAGCATGGAGAAGGAAATCACCGTCGTACCAGTTGGAACTAGATAGCGAGTAACGACAACAGAGGACAACTTAAGGTCTGTCTCTTATACACATCTAGATGTGTATAAGAGACAGCCCCCATTGTTATTCGCAGTCTCCCTTGCTACCCGGACTGATTATCATCATTGCTCTCTGCTTTCCTTCTTCACCTTGTCGTACTTGTTTGTGCAGCTTTTGTGCCGGAGCGTCGTCCTTATGTGCCGTACATTCTGTGTTGTCCCGACAGGGGCTTCGGACTATGGACTGAGACTTGTGCCTTGAGACTTCTGAGTTGTGCTGTGTCATGACACCATTGCTGCTTTGACCGAGGTTTGCGCAATGTCCTTTGTGTTTTGTGCCCACTGTGTTTACTGCAAACTGCTTGGCCTTTTTATTTCCGAAAACCATCTGTTGTACTTGCCCAAAGTTGTATGAGAGAACTGTAGGGTACACAGACAGACAATCACCAATGCAGACATAGGCAGACTGTCAAGAACATAATGAAGTCTCAGAGTGATTTTCCAATTACAGGCAGTCTTTCAGACGTTTTATCGTCTGTTTTGTTCTCAGTTTTCATGCATGTTTATTTTTTCAATTGTTCGCAGCAGTGCTATGGTTTCCTTTTATGCTATGTTTTTATGCATGTTAATTTTTTTAATTGTCCTGTAATGCATCGTCCTTCGTGCCTTTGTTCACCTATAAATTCCAATTACAACTCAACTTCGAGGTTTACGGTTTGGGGTTTAGGGTTCAGTTCAGGGTTTAGGGTTTAGGGTTTAGAGTTTTGGGTTCAGTGCTTAGGGTTTACACTTCAGGGTCTAGGATTCACGGTTTACGGTTGAGGCATTCGGCTTTAGGGTTCAGGGTGATCTGAGGGTGCCTGGCTGGTGGTTGGGTGATCTGCATTCTGAGGTCGTCGGCTGACCTACGGATGCACGTGCTGTAGGGGCAGTGGATGCTTCACCGGCTGCTGAGGGTGCTCCAACAGCTGCAGCGAACCTCATTTGGCCATTTTTCGTTTTTTCTTTTTCTCTTTTGTGGCAGCATCTTCACTTCCTTCAGCGACTGCATGTGGTAGAGACACCATCTCTTGAGGGGGTAGTTGTTAATTATTTTTCTTTCGGATGTGCTGCGCCATGCCGTTTGTGAATCGCAAGTGCGAATCAAAGGCACATTGGGACTCTGGGCCTGGGACATGGAGCGCGACCCGGGGGTCGATTCGAAATTGCAAGGACCTTTGGACTTGGGACTTGGGATTGGGGGTCAGGACTTGGGAGTTTGACTACGATTGGGCCCGGGACGTTGGGACTGTGAGTCCGGGGTTGGACTCAAGATTGTGGATTAAGGACTCTGGATTGGCACTCGGGGTTGACGGACGAATATGGGGAAGATGGCAATGGTGGAGGGGCAGGAGGGTGCCAATGAAGTGGAACGAGGAAGGGTTCGGGAGTTGGGTCCCGTTTTATTCATGCTTATTATAATAATTTTTCAGTGATTATCCTATTTTCTCTTCATCGTCATCCTCATGCCTGTGTCTGTGCTTGAGGCCTGTGTTGGGACTGGGAATGTCAATATGACCTCGGAAATTCAGTGGGGACAGTTTGGGGAGCTCGTTTTGGTATAGTTTCCATTTCTCCTCGTGTCATTTTCACTTCTTCTAATTCCTTGTTTCTATTGTTCAATTTCATACAAGAACTTTTTTTCCAATTTCCCCACTTGAGGCATGGCTCAGAGGTGTTGCTCGCTTGTTATTTTCAGTTTTAGTGTGGTTCTACCTCTTACTCCTTGTGCTTACTGCAGTCTCGTGTGTGTGTGTGTGTGTGTGTGTGTGTGTGTGTGTGTGTGTGTGTCTGTGTGTGTGTGTGTGTGAGAGAGAGGGAGATAGAGAGGGAGAGACATTGTGGTGTGTGTGTGTGTGTTTGAGATTGTTTTCAATATAGCGTTGTGGACGTTCTCATTAATGTTCAATAAGGCATTGGCAAACATACTGCATGTTCAATAAGGCATCAATATGATATTCAAAGCCTCTATCTAGTTTGACATTATCTTCAACATAGCGTGCTGGTCCTCACACCTGCTTTGACTCTATGTGCAACATCACGTCGTAGTCCAGGACTCCTTTCAATGACCTCATACTAGGAACTGGGACGCGAGACTTGGGACTGCGAGGAAGGACCTGAGACCTGGGACTGTGATTACAGACTCGGGTTTTGTAGAGGCGCATGGTTTGGCACTCTTACTTGGGACTCCGGACTTGGATTTCAGACTCACAGCTTGGGACTAGGAACTGGAACTCAGGACTGGGGACCTTCTACCTGGGATTGGAACATGGGACTAGGATCTCGTTCTTGGGACTGGGACCTGGGACATGGGATTTAGGATTCGGGATTGGTACCTAGACGTGGGAGTTGGGACTGTGATTTGGGACTCAGGTCTTGCATAGGTGCATCGTTTGGCACTTGAACTTCAGACTTGGGACTCAGGACTGTGACCTGAGACTCAGGACCGGAACTCGGGAATGGGACCTGGGAGTTGGGATTAGGGATGAGAATCGCAACAGGGACCTTGCACTTCAGATTGGAACTCGGAACTAAGACTTAGGACTATGACTTAGGGCTAGGGAGTAGGACTAGGACTTGGAACTGGGACCGAGGACTTAGACTTGGGTGTGGGACTCAAAGAGAGGGTGCTGCAAATCACAAGCACCATTACCGAGAAGACGAATCTCTCGTGCACTCTCAACCACTACCACACATGAAGCGAATAATCACTACCGAGTGTAAAACTGCCACGTACGAAAACATTAATTCAGCAAGCCTGCGGAGTGTTCTTCACCAAAACTACCCCGTCTGAGTCACCTTGGACCTAGCCGGATATGGCGCCCATCCTTTTACTACTATGCCCAGCCCTGCCAGCCTTCACACCACCACTGCCACCTACAAAATGCCTTCGCAGCACCATTACCACCACAGAACCGACTCAGAACCAGCAGCACCAGCCCTTCAGTGAAGAACGAACCTTCAGGTGGAAGAAGAAGAACAGCTGCAACAAAGAAGATATAAATGGAAGCAACCAACCCTAACAGTATAGATATGCTGCTACCTGGCTCAAAAGTGGAATTGCCTGCCTCCCTGCTGGGGAAGTCCTGTAGCAGCGGAACCCATACACGGACGTGCTACAGCAGGCTGGTGGCGTTCGACGATGTTTCAGTCATGTATATCAATGGTCACTCGCTGTATACTCTCGGACTTGCTGTATACTCTCGGACTTGCATAAGTTGGACTTAAGAGTGAGACTTCAAATCGGGGCTCGCGATTCGTACATGCAACTGGGACTTGGACTGGGACGACAACCTGTGACTTAAGACTACGACCTAGTACTTGGTAGCGGGACCTGGGTCTTGTAGTCGGGACTTGGAACTTCGACAGGGGACTTGGACTCCTGACTGGGGTGTTGCAGCCCTGTCAGACTACGACCTTGCACAGTCTGTTTCTGCAATGTCACCATGAATCTGGATGTGGGTTAACATGTTGGTCCTGGGTTGGTTCATCTATAGCTTATATGTAATCATATTTGAGGATTTGATCCTAATGAGATCTGATGGGAACTGATCGGATCTGACAACATCTGAGAAGAACAGGACCCGCCCACCCTGCGCTTGCTGTCTTTCACGTGAAAAGATGACCAAACCTTTTATGTTCGGAGCAGGGTGAGGGCATCCTGTGTGAACCTGCTGCCATGAGTCCAAATGAGGTGTGGGTGGAATGAAGTCTGTGTCGGGGGTCGTTACCAGGTGTAGGTTATAGACAACGAGCTGTGCAGGAAGGCTGCCACTAGTAAACACATTCCTCGTCTGTCTCAGGGCATAATTGTTTTTCACTGCATGTATCCGGATTTACTGTATGTGCATCAGACCTTCTGGTAAACTTTGCTAAAGTGGTTACGTATATTCTCCCTCTAACGCAATGCACCTTTGCTAAACTTTGCATGTATCCAGATTTACTGTATGAGCCACCATCAGGCTCACATTTAGTCACAGTAAGAGTGCATTGTGTTCATAAAGGTTGTTGTTCAGGTAACCTTGCGCTGCTGTCACACATGAGCTGTGGGCCAACCGATTTTTGTTCCTTATATATTTCATTCGTGGGAATGTACGTCTCATTTTTGCTCGGCTTTTGCTCAATCATGTCCGGCCTTCTGTGTGATGTCACAACTACGTAAATTGTATGTTGTTTGTCTTTTTTTCGTAATAGGTTCATGTATATTTGGTACATGCTTATCACTTTTCCAGGGATTTTTCTCCGAGTATTGCAATGTCGTACCTTTAAACCACCACTACCTTTCTCAGGCAAACGCAAAGTCAAGGTCAGCAAAAAGTGGCTCGGAGGTTGTGGTGTCTTAAGAGGTTCTAAATCATTGGCGCCTGTGTGGTGAGTTCGGGGTTTGGAGTACACGGTTTTAGGTTTGGAGTTGGTGGTTTTCAGTTTGGGAACCGTAACTTCATTGGGAACTGTTTTTTTTCACTACTGCCTTCACCTATATACAAATCATATTGGGCATGATGTGCATGGACCTGAAATTGCGCCAACAATGATTTCCTCTCAAACGCTAGTCATTTTTTTCATGAGTCTCTTATCTGTTTCAACATCATCTATAACGTGATGTTGGAACCCGCCTCCCCCGCTCCCCCCTGTCTGTTTTGACATCATTTTCAATGTAGTGTCGAAGAGAGAGAGAGAGAGAGAGAGAGAGAGAGAGAG